GTCGAAGGGTGCGTGTCCATGTCCTCGAAGTCAAGTCTGGAATTTGACTCAAAATCCCGGCTTGCTAAATTGCTCTATTCAATATTAACTGCCTACTGACCATACACCATGCTCTCCAATAGGATGGCTTTTTCGACGTTGCGCTGACAGAAGATGACCTCGCGGACCACCAACGGCTGCGTGATGCTTGGCAGCGAAGCGAGAGCAGCATCCTCAAGTAAGACCATTCGTCGTTCGAGAAACGTCCCATACTCACCACGCTCGAATATAGCATCAGTGTGGAGGGCGAGGTAGCTCATAATGCGAGCCTTCAAGACGCTGAAGCAGCTTTCGATCGGGTTCAGCATCGGTGAGTAGGGGCCAAGTCGCAGCAGCGTCATGTCATCGTGTTGGACAACGCGACTTTCCGTTTGCGAATGGGCCGGCGCGTTGTCCAACACGATGACAACGCGCTTGCCGGCAAAGTGGTCGCGCCAGGTGTCGGACCGCTTGACAGCTTCGCAGACTTCTTCCACGAAAAGCGCGTTTTATTCCATGCGGATGCTGCCGCGTTCGAGCTTGTAGTGGACAAGGCCTTGCTCCGCTGACACGGCGCACTGGACTTGCAAGTTCGGACCCTGCGACGGCGGCAGCACGACAGTGGCTCTCGCGTCTTTTTTGGATCGCCCGAAGCTCCGCTTGCAGTACACGTTGTAATTCGACTCGTCGTAATAAACAATGTAGCCCCCGTTGTCTTTGTGTTGCTTGAGCTTGAGCGCAAACTCACGTCGCTTCTGCTTGTTGATGTCGTTGTTGCAGGTCGCCGGATCGATGCGCACTTGCTTGACGGTGTACAGCTTGCCCAAAATGTGGCGGCTGATGGTTTGGACCGAGAGATCAGTGCCGGCGAAGTCGGCAGCAACAAAGGTTTGCATTTCACGAAGAGTGTATTGACAGTTCTTGTCTAGATACTGCTCGAGAGCGGAACGGATCTCGGGGGTGACCTTGGACTTGGCGGGTCGAAAGCCACCTCGTGGCAGCAGAGTCGTTCGGCCGGTGGTCACAACTCGCCTCGCTGTGGCGAGGGACATGTCGTTGTGCTGGGTGACGAGCTTCCAGTTGTCGCCGCGGAGGAACACGCTTCTTCTCCTCCGCGGTGGGGTCTTTGTGTGTTTTCATGCGAAGACAAGTCGGGTGATTGGAAAATGATCATTTTGCATTGACAGTTTACATAAATAGCGCGCTTCTGTGGTTCACTTTGATTGGAACAAAATTCATGTTGATCCGAACTTTTGCACTCCACATCTCTCGTGAAAATTTACATTTTATATCCGATTCAACTTGATTGGAAAAAGTTCGCAACTTGATTGGGAAAAGGTGTAGAACTTCCAAGGAGTACATATTCTAAACGATATGACATGTCACAATGAATGGCAAGTGTACATTCTTCTTTAAATATTTATATGATCAAGTTGGTCCTCCACGTTTGGGTGTGCTTTTTTAACCGTAGATTGCTATTTATAAAAGTTATGGAAAAATCGATGAAATTCATCCATGGCCTACGCTCAATCGATGGCGGCGTTCGCCGTTCTCGTTGCCAGCGCAACAACGACCGGTCTGCCCAGTCATTCGCGTTAACTTGTCCGACTGCAGCGAATTGACTGCGGCAGGAAGTGGGCGGGACTCACCCCGTGTCTGTCGTCTGTGTATGTGCGAGGCGCAATTCCCGCGACGACCGCGGGAAGCATCGCGGTTGAGACAGTGAGCCATTTTACCCGCCGCGCACTGCCTTGTTGATTATGAGGACGAGAGAGCGTGGTAGATTAAGTCATTGGAGGTCACCATTTGACGTTTGACCAGGTCTCGAGCACCGCGATGATTTCTGCAATGCTACGGACAATTGCATCGGCGTCGGGGTACATGGACGCGTCCACAGGGTCAGAAGTGATCCAAATGGTTCGCATGCCAACCTAAAGAGGATTTTACGAATAAACGAGTTGGGACGGGATCTGCGCACGTACTGCTTTTGCGCCTGTGATGTCACAGATGTAGTCGTCGCCGACGTGCACCACATGCGACGCGTCCAGCTTCAGCAACGACAACGCGCGTTCAAACAAAACTATGCATATCGTGTGCGTCATCCATTGATCGAAGGACTAGTGTACTCACCGCGATGTGGTTTGCTGTAGCCGTTCGAAGAGTCTGGGGCGACCCAAACGTCGCCAAACGCACCTCGAAGGATGGGGGGAAGGTACTTGCGTTGGCAATTGCCATTTGTGATGACGCCAAGTCGCATCTGCCTTTCCTACAAGCTCGTGAGCACTTGACGTCGAAAACAGCTACACCTGTAGTCGTTGGAGCACACGTTCAACGCCTTCAAACAACACGGGCGAGCTTCGTGCTGCGAGGAATGTGTGCATCGACGTAGCGACGACATTGTCGAGTTGCTCGTAGCCAACGCTTCTCGCACATTTAATCAGAGTGTCTTGGCGAAGCGCAGTGAAATCCCGCATCGCAGATGCTGCCATGACAGAGGCCCAAGTCGTTTCGAAAAGCGACTGCGTGATGAGAGGATACGAACGTTCCAGGTGCTCATGGAACACTTGGGCAGCTCTTCGAAGGGTCTCTTTTCCACACCTGCATCGCATTGAGTGAGACCAACGATAGCGGCGATTGCGCGTACCACAGCGTGTCGTCTAGGTCAAATGTGACGCCGCGGATGCCATTTTCCAAACTCGGCATGAGGGGAGAGGACGGAATACATGCCAGCTCGCGTAAATTCTCGAGGGGCTACGGCTGTCACCTCTCCTGAATCGAGCCAATCAGAGATCGTTCAAACTTTTTTTTAATTAATAGATGTTTGTATTCAAAATTCAATTCTATTTTGAATGAGAAGGAGACTGGCTTTTTTGAAACCAGTGCATTTTTAAACATGTATCTTGTCGAGTGTATGAATTTTAATTCGACTGTCAACAAGGTTTCCTTTGAAATTAAATAATTTCCTGGTATTTGTTGTGGAAGGACGAAAATTTGAAGTCGGCAGGCACAGCACCCATCCCGCGGGACCATGAGTCGCGAGGCGCGTAAGACGGCGCAGATCTGGGCGTCGATCGAGAAGATGCAGAAGAAGGAGGACGAGCTAAGTCTGTCGGACAACAGCTCGGACAAGACGCAGAAGCAGCAGCGCAAGAAAAAGAAGCACAAGCGGTCCCCCAGTGACGACGACGACAACGCACTTACAGGCCCAGTCCCAACAGGAGCGTGCGACGCTGGCAACCAAGACGACACCTGTCACACCCAAACGAAATCGTTAGCGCTGCACAAGAGTAGTGACTTCATTCGCAGCAGTCCCTTCGTTCCTCCGAGAAAGAAGTGGGTGAACCAGTGGACTACACATCTCGGCCCCAAAGTCCGCAACCAGGACGAAGAAGTCTGCAGTTCTAAGCCAGATATCGTGCCGTCGGTGAGCACTGCCAGTAGCAGTAGCCATCATCACACCTCCGGCGTTCCAACCAGTCCCAGGCCTCGTGCTCACAATGACGAAACACCAGGGTCAGCAAGCCACGGCGTCTCCGCCCTTGTGAGTCCGCACCACGCCGGTCAATCGATTCAAGCCCCTCGCCTGGATCACCTTGTCGCGTCAGCTACCGTTCCCACTGTGCTGCCAACTTCTCCACGTGTCCATGCCGGCGTCACTGTGGCAACTCTCGCAGTAGCCCAAGCCGTTCCACCCCTGAAAGAAGACGAAGCTGAAGAAGGTGAGTATACAGCAAGTCCTCCGCGCCCGTCGCCGACTGACACAGGAACGACAATCGCTGCTCTCGCCTTGAAAGCGCCTGTTCCAGATTCTACACGCCTACATCAACCCCCGGTCCCACCACTGACGCCATCGCCAATTCGTCAGCAGGAAGGTTCCGTCATCTCTGCCCATACTCCAGATAACGGAAGTTCCAAGGAGCATGCCCCGTCGACCACAACTCCCGCCCCGCCAGCGTCTCCCGTCATGAATGCTCTCGGTTCGCGCCGCAAGCGAAAGTCCCTCTGGGATGTTGGCGATCCCCGCGTCGATGACGGCAGGATGCCTAGCAGCGACACCATCCGCCGACCAAGCGACGGGCGTGGCGGTCGCAGTGCGTCGGCGGATGGCCGCAGGCGGTCATGGTCGCGACCGCACCAGCACCACCACGGTTCGCATGGGTCCAATTTCTCGTCGAGTTCGCACCACCACCCCAACCACAACTCGACAGCGTACCCTCCACGGCGGCATACTCCGCCGCCACAGCAAGCACCGTCTGCGCCGTCGCTTGCCAAGCCAAGGGATCCCCCCCGGTCGATGTCGTCATCGTGGCTACCGAGTAGATAAACTAGACTTTGTACACGCGATGTGTTGGCGACAGACCAGGGATTGCGATTCCGCGCCACGGACTGCTCTGGACGAGATGCCCGAGGTCCCAAGTTGCGGTGGGGGTATAGAAACCGGTGGACATCGCGCCACCTTGTTGCTGTGCTTGTTGGTCCCGACACGGGGCTTCTGCGCGATTGCACACTGACGCTCGCGACATGGTCGACATTTCTTGCCTTGGTTCACTACAGATGCGATGATTTCCGTCGGGGGCTACCATCATGGAGGACTGCAATTGTCAGAGCGGGGGGATGGCGAAGGCATTGTGGACGCTGGCAATGAAGGGCAGCTCACCGCCCCTTTGGCACGCGCGGTAAGCTCGCTCGATGCAGTACCGACCCTCTCGCAAAGGAATGCCTGTTTGCGGCGTGTGTGGCTGGACAGCTACGGCGTCGGTGACGGAGATGGAATAAGTCGAATTACATACATAGAGAGTACGGCACATACAACCGTTGGCTTAGGATGCAGGCGAGCACCGCTTGATGCTCAAGTTCCGATGAAAGGGACGGCATGTGTACTGGTAGTCGAGCATCCTGTCATTGCAACACGTGAGCTCGCCCACGTCCAAGAACTGCGTCGCTATCGCCGCCGACTTGGCCGTCGTGATTGGGAAGACAGTGGCGCCACCGCACGCCTGGAACGGCGCCGGCTGTCGCTGGCGGCCTTCGTACCACGCGACTTTGTCGCACGTGTGTCGAATGCGCTTGGCCGTGTCGGCAGCCCACGGCTCTTCGCACCGCTCAACTCCGAATCGCTTGGACATGGTGACGGTCTTCGAGACGCCCGTCATTGTTGAAAAGTCAAGGTTACACGTGACAGTGAGTCCGGTCCACGGCGTGTCGGGCAAGGCCGTGAGGGCGAGGTCGACTTTGATCGGAACTTGGCTCATCTCGGCGTTCGTGTCGAGCCAGAAGGACGGAGTCGGGGTGGAGTTGTCGTACTCCCACCAACAGTGGAAACCGTGGAAGCCCCAGTGGATTTTGACATCGACAGAGGTGGCGACAGGCGGCATCGGCGGGGACTCGGGGGTCTCCGTGGGGCCAAAGTAGCACTCGGCCTCCTCCAAGCACCCGTTGCTGGCATCGCACGTGTTGCACAGTCTGGGCACCTTCTCCGGCGCCGCTCGTCTTTCGTCGCACCACGGAGCGTGAAAGTAACTCACGAACGCCGTCTTGGTTTTGCGACACAGCTGGACCGATATGCTGCGGACCTGTCCCTTGCCTTTGCATTGGTCGAAGTGACTGCAAATATCGTCGTACTTGTAGCACGCGCCTTCGTGCAGCGTCAAGTACGTCTCGGGTTCCCCGCGGCATGCTGTGCCTCGGGCGAACGTGTTGAACGTGACACGGCCACCGCGCGTCTTGGGTGTCAGGGACACTGGAGAGGGCCGCAGCATCTCCTTGTACGCTGCCGCCGTCGAGCTGAACTCAAACTTGCACACACGAAAGTCCGACTTGGCGACTGTGCACGCATTCGCCCCGCACGCCCACAAGCTATTCCACCACGTGTTGGGCACGAGAGCCTCGGTGCGGTGCACAAAGATCGTCCACACGACTGTTTGGACATGTCCGCAAGCCGAGTGCGCTTCAAAAGTGAGCTTGGTCTCGAATCGGGGAAACGAGAGCCGGCCGTTGACATCGTCCAGCTCGTTGTCGACGATGCGGTGCCAGGCCCCGGATTCGGTTTGGCGAACACGCCAGAACACGATTTGCGACGACGGGAGGCCGTGGAGCAGCCCCTGCACGCTCGGATCGGCGTTCAGATCGCTGGAAAGTTCAAAGAGTGCACTCAGTTTGATCTGGAACTTGTCGTGGCAAAACGATGCAAACGAAGGGGACGTCTTGTCGCACCGCACGTCGAAGTGGAGCTCTTTGTACCGATTTAGCGGCTCGGGGTAGTTGGCGCCTGGAAAAATCCGATCGAGGTTGCGGAGGAGCGTCACACTATTTCCCAAACCACTGATCTCGTTTTGCAGATTCACGGTTGCCGTGGGGGACAGCGTGGGGCCATTCAAGACCAGCGTCTGGGAGAAAGCACACTTTTCAGTGTCGAACCCTGCCGGATCGATCGAGCCTTGGCACACTCGGCGGTGGTTGTGCTGGCCCGAGTCGGATGGACACTCGTAAGGCGTGTAGTACTCGCGCAGGCTCACGCTGTACGCGCACGTCCGGGCACAAACTGGCGGCGTCGCCGTGCCGTCAGCGTACTGGACTCGGCCGTCCGCTTGGATTGGATTCATCGACAGCCGAGTGCGTTCGGCTGGCGATAGAGGCCTGGAGAGGCAGTCGAGCCAGTGATCGAGCTTGTCCGGCACGGCGGAATCGCCATCGTTCTTGTACGTATGCTGGAGCTGGAACAACTCGGTGCGCTCCACAAAGACTTCGTCGCACCGAGCGTCGCTGCACGCGTTGTTGGCGGCCGTTTGTCGATACAGGACGAGCTCTTCGACCTGCGCTATGTACGCATCCAAAGCACGCTTTGCGTACACTTGGGCGGGCTTGTCTTGACAGTCGGCTGGCTTGGTGTTTGTCGGTCGAAATCGATCCGTCACCGACAGGCACGTCGAGCAGGGTTTGGATTCGATCGGTCCCGCGACGGCGTCTTCAAAGTCGTACGCGGTCAAAGTGACTTGATACACGCCGGGGGACTGAGGCACTTGGTCGTACAAGATGTCGGGTCCATGCGTCTCAAAATCCTTGAACCCGTACGCGCCACGCGTGACCGTGGGGCTCGAGCCGATGTCGCTCATGGCAGTGGTAACTTCGACACGCACGTGAGGGTTTGGGCCACCTTCGGGGGTATACACGACGTTGTCCAGATCGTAGTGGTAGCTGCTCTGGGGGTATGGAAAATACAAGCTCGATTTGCTGGCAAACACATTGGGAAAGCACATGGAATCGGCTACAGAAGTGTCGTGGGTGACGTCCAAATCGAGCGCGGGTCGCATCGCTCCAGGAACGTGCCAACGACATTGGGCATACCCATCGGGGCGCATCTTGGATGGACTCGTCGCGGCGGTCGCTTCGTCGTCGGCGTATGGCAACCTCTGCGGTTCCATCGACAGGTCTTCTCCAGGGCGACCCACGACCCACGCCACGCGCGCCTTCGCCACCGTGGCCACAGCCATGCCCACTAAGCCTATCCGTCGCATGGCAAACTAGTCGTTCCGTTAAGCGCTTGAAAGCACGGCCGTGGCGCTCGCCGGGCGTTGCAAGAGCTGATATGGCGGTCGAAGCATGAAAGGTCGTGGATTCGCCACATAGGGCGTTTGTAAGCCACGACCCAACTGACGTAACTGACAAGTCGTAACGTCACCTGACGAAAGGTCGCCGACTCTGCATGCAGGGCTATTACCATTCGGCATGACGACAGCCACAGCAGTGCGGTCAAGAGTTGAACGGAACACGCCGCAAACAGGCATTCCTTTGCGAGAGGGTCGGTACTGCATCGAGCGAGCTTACCGTGCGTGCGAAAGGGGTGGTGAGCTGCCCTTCATTGCCAGCGTCCACAATGCCTTCGCCATCCCCCCGCTCTGACAATTGCAGTCCTCCATGATGGTAGCCCCCGACGGAAATCATCGCATCTGTAGTGAACCAAGGCAAGAAATGTCGACCATGTCGCGAGCGTCAGTGTGCAATCGCGCAGAAGCCTCGTTTCGGGGCCAAGAAGCACAGCAACAACGTGGTGTGATGTCCACCGGTTTCTATACCCCCACCGCAACTTGGGACCTCGGGCATCTCGTCCAGAGCAGTCCGTGGCGCGGAATCGCAATCCCTGGTCTGTCGCCAACACATCGTGTGTACAAAGTTTATCTACTCGGTAGCCACGACGACGACATCGACCGGGGCGGATCCCTTGGCTTGGCAAGCGACGGCGCAGACGGTGCTTGCTGTGGCGGCGGAGTATGCCGCCGTGGAGGGTACGCTGTCGAGTTGTGGTTGGGGTGGTGGTGCGAACTCGACGAGAAATTGGACCCATGCGACCCGTGGTGGTGCTGGTGCGGTCGCGACCATGACCGCCTGCGGCCATCCGCCGACGCACTGCGACCGCCACGCCCGTCGCTTGGTCGGCGGATGGTGTCGCTGCTAGGCATCCTGCCGTCATCGACGCGGGGATCGCCGACGTCCCAGAGGGACTTTCGCTTGCGGCGCGAACCGAGAGCATTCATGACGGGAGAAATGAGGCCGCCGGACCGACGTATAATCGGTCGTCGATGCAAGCGCGGAACATCAGTCGAGAACGACGCTTCGTGGGGGGACGCTGCCTAAAAGTGATTGACCGCCGAGACAAGATACATGTATAGGACGGTGCATTGGAAGCAATCTTGTGCGAAGAGTCCTTGATGGGGCGTGCTTTGTGCTGCTCTGAGCCTGGGAGTTTGCGGACCAACCCGACGCATTGCTCGAGGCCATCGAGAGCAGCCTGTCCCGTCGAGTGTTATTTTCTTCTCCCACGGAAAGTCGCCAAGTCAACGCGGCGCAAAACTCATATTCCACCACGACAGCTTCAATGCGCGCATTTCGTGGTCTCACTGAAAGGAGCATGCGGCATCCATGAATTCCTAGAGTTTTACCGCTCGATTCAAACCCCTCCTTGCACACTGTCAAAACTATGCAAACAAGTTAGGAACAGAGGAAGGATCGGTTGCGAATGCCGCGGCAGGCGCCATGGGCCGCTCGCCTCCGGGTATGTAGTTGGAGCTACAATTGCGGTCGTGCAGGTCCGAAGTGGCACAAGGAACAGCATTCGAATGATTCGACAGCTGGGCAGTTCGGAATCAGCGGCCCGAGGCGTAGTTTGGCGAGAGACGTTGAGCTCAAACCTCTCCATTGTCCTGCCATGGGTCGCAGCCCCCACGTCAGCTCCACGGAGATGGGGGTGACGTTGTGATTTACGATTTGGTGAGATGGCTACCTGCTCGGCGGTGATGGCATCCACACACGTCAGCGATGTCATGGTCTGTGCCGAAGCTGCTGGCGTTCCCAGAGGGCTTCGTCTGTACGTAGCAGCTGTCTGGGCGATCGAGACACAAGCCATCGTAAAACGACGTGGCAAAGCTCCTGCGAATTAAGGAAAGCGGATGCCGTGGTCGCCATCATGTGGACGCTGAAGACCCGTGCGTTGTGGCCACGATGGAATGCAGGGCCTCCTTCTCCCAGGCGGTCACTATCCTTCGAACATTGTCTTGTTGACCTCTCCCGCATCGGATGGTGCATCAGAACGGACCATTGCGCCAGAATAATTGCATTGACATGCCGACATGATGTGGACATCGTGCTCACGACGCCACACAGTTCTGAACCGAACCCACTCACGACGATCTCAAACCCATTCTTCCTTTGCACCACCGGGATGCAAAGCCCCCACGTCTGTCGGTGCAACTGCTGACCAGTATTGTCATGCCCCACATCCTCGTTGTTCCCGATAGTTGCAAGGACTCGAGTGAGACAACAGCTCGGCAAAAATGGTGGCCGTCTCCCGAGAACGAGACGGCCGAGATTTCTACCTATGTGACGCGGCAACACCACCTGGTGTGTAATGGTCCCGACGGCAGCGATACACACTTTTCAATGCCACATGGCATTGGAATAATGGCACCATGCGTCGCCCTCCAACTTCGGGCAGGAGGGACCGCCAGCTTTCGGATCGTCGTTGAAGCGTCGTGGGAATGTCCCAATGTCGTTCGTCGCGGTGGCCAGTTGGACGTGATTCCAAACATTCGTTGCCCTCCATTTTCCCCGACAAGCTGCCTGGCACGCATCCAGCCATGCGACGTTTACTCTCGCGGCTACCGCATCCTGGCTGCTCCATGGACCTGCTGCCACGTCAGAGCCCTGCCTCGCCGCGCGATTCCTGCGATCCTCGAACGCGATAGTGTGATCGAGCCACCCATCGATCGTGCAACATTGGTGTTCTCGACTTGAAGTTCCACCAGGTGGAAAGCTCGAAGTAGTTTTGAGCGCGTAAAACCACAACGACGCATCTCTCCCCACCCATCAAGCCGACACCAACAGCTCCATTCGCCGTAATCTCGTCCCCGCCACACTCGATCTTGGTGTAACCATGATCCGATTTGTCGCGTCCTTGGTGATCGCCGCAGCCGTGGCGCTTGTCGCGCACGCGGCGTCCACTGCAGATGTCTCCACTCCGCCGCTCTGCACTTCATTGAAGGCATGTTTGGCGTATGGAAGGATGGTGTGCGACGTCAGCACGCAGGAATGTCCGCCATGCATGTACGTCGACGCGAAGGGCCAGACGCTGTGTTTTGATAAAGTTGCTGGTACTGCCTTGTGCCCGTTTGTCAACACCACCGCCGACTGCAGCGGTGGAACGGCGCGGACTCTTCCGCCGCTCCGAAATAAAACCTTTTCGAGCGCCACGAACCACTCCCTGCCGTCCCAACAGTCGCCAGACTCGACCGTCTCCCTCGATACCTCGTCGTCGCCATCGTCGTCGTCGTGGAATAGTCTCAGCATTGGGTTCTTCGTGACTGTGCTCGTGCTCACTGCAGCGATCGCGGTTGCTGGGATCCTGCACATCCGCTCGACCCACGCACAAAATCCGCCGCGGCGCCCGTCGACTCCAATGCAATTTGTCAAGACGGTTTGTTCGTCGCCACCCTGTATCAGGCCATCGTCATTCAGCCATCACCACATGCCCGACCACGTGACGGCGGCAGCCATGACCAAGACGCTGGTTGCCATGTCGGAAGCGTATTTGGACACACAGAGCAGCCTCGAGTCCGGGCGATCCGAGTCGTTTTGCCACATCATGGAGCCGCCGAGAGATGACTCGGTCGTTCGGTCGTCGGATGTATTTTAGTACGTTGTGGAATTTGTTAAGTTAGGTCATGATGTTGGATGACGTGCTCATCCGCCACACGGGTGACTCGTGCGAATAGCATGCGGACAGCGTCGTGGGCTCGCCCAACACGGGGGTGTGCATCGGGTTGAGCGACATTAAGCAGTCGTGCGTCGACCCTGGCTGCGATCGAAAGTTGTGCTGGTTGCTCTGGAGCGCTGGATGGTTGACGTGCACAACGTCGCGGCCACGAAACTGGTTCCCCTTGGGGACGTACGGCACGCCAGGTCGATACCGATGCTTCGAGATGAACACCACGATCGTGATGCCGAGGGCGAGGGCGAGGACGACCACCGCCACGATGAGACCAGTGTCGAGCGGGGTGAGGTGGTCGGACGATGCGTCATCGATCGTTGCATTCGGTGCGATCGTGGTTGTCCAGCCTGGAGTCGTCGTCTTGTTGACCAGGATCGGCACCGGCGCCGTGTCGTTGGACGCGCCTGTCGAGACACGTGAGTCGGCACGCACATCGAGCCCGACGTACGTACTGCAGTCTGCCGTCGTGTTCACAAACGGGCACAGCGCCGTGCCCGTGATGCGCGCATAGCACAGGTGGCGTCCCTTGGCGTCGATGTAAATGCACGGCGGGCACTCCTGCGTGCCGCGGTCGCACGAGACTTTGCCGTAGGCCAGGCACGTCGATAGCGTCGTGCACACTGGGCTGGACGCGTTGGATGCCATGTGTGCGGGAATGAGCTCTGCGATGCGAACCGAGGATCAGCGGTGCCACCTACCACCGGCCACTCTGCCTTCGTGCATGAAAACCATGTGTCTGATCTGGCGAACGGGTCAAAATATCGGTCTATTGCCCCAGCTTTACCCTATATTACTTGATTTTTCTATCGCGTACAACCATAGTTGTCTTATTTGACGACATGTTTCGAGCAAAACGTGCCCTCACACGACGTGCCCACATCCAGCGCGGCGGCGGCGCTGCCGTACATGTCCAAGGCCAGATCGCACCCACCATCGAGCCTGCTCTAGGATAACCTGTGGGTGCGCCCTGTGCAATGGTCGCGTTGGCATTGCGTGGGTCGGTCAGACGGACAGCGGCTCGCCCACACTACAAGCACACGTAGAGGTGCGACGGCAGCGCGAAAAAGACTGGGTACGGCGCTGCGGGATGGCCTCCCTTGAGCGTGTGACGTCGACCACGGACAGATCAGGTTTCGACCGACACGTACAGGCGAGACACTCGCGAGAAAAACACACACATCTTTTACATCTCTTGACCAAGCCTACAACGTTGCGAATCGGCTCCACAACGATTGTGACATGCATCACGACGCTGCCTCTTCACGTGCGTCGTCGATGTGTTGGACGACGAGCGGGTGGAGGGGGAGCCGGCGCCGTTTTTCTCCATTCTCGCGGCAAGAGTGCGTCAGGCGCGAACGGGTGTCGGCAACGCATGCGCGCGACGCGGCAAATCGCAAACCATGCATGGACAACACACATATGGACGTTGCAATTCGTTCGAGTTTTCCGAATGACAGCAACAAAACGGAGCGCACACACGCGGTTGCCTTGCTCTGCCACCGCGGCAGCCTGTGACGCCGTGCGGATTGGACATGCTTTTGGAATCGATGTAGCCTGTGCCACTCCGTCGAGCATCGCTCGAGTCACAGTCGACGACGAAATATCACGCCATGATTATCGGTGTAAGTTGGGCCACATCGACATCGGATTCCCTTGGGTTCGTATCGGCGGACAACACCTACCTCGATCACGCCAAATTCCATGACGCGTCATTCCGATTCAGAAACCGTTGAACGTGACAAGATGCCTCGGCGACGCGCAGTTGAAACGTGCAGTGGACCGAAACGTGAGCGATGGCCCAGCGTTAGCCGGCTCGCTCTGCTAGCACGTGCTGACAGGCTAGAGTATATTGTCGTCGCCAGCCGGCGTCGTGGCGGTCCACACATGGCCAACCTGACGTCAGTACCTGGCTGCATTCTCCTCCAAACAGCCTTGCGTTCTCTTGCGCAGTGCTCTTTCGAGTGGCGACGACACAGTGCTGACACAGTCACAGCGTCGATTACATCGCGCGGGCATTTTGTGGGACGATTTTCCCAAGGTCAATCGTTGTCTCGGATTCGTATATCGCAGGTGTGTATTACGGTGGGGGATTTGTCAAGATCGTCGTCCAACGAGGTGGACATTATTTGCTCACGCACACGTTCGACAACCAGTTTGACGGGCTTGGCGACTTGCCATCGGTCAGTCGGAGCTCGCACACGACCACATTGAAATTGTATGTTAGTTGAGGTACACTTGCAGGGACAGCACGTTCCGGTTGTCTTGGGGAGGAACGATTGTCCAGGGGCTGTCATGGGTCATCTTTACTGCACGCACGACGTCGAGATGTGGGTCGTTGCCGGCGTTAAACTTCTGGGCACCGACCAACCAATGTGGAGCGAAGCCGTCGTCTTCAGCGTCCGAGGTAATGGTAACCCAGCACAACGTCGACGGCGGTAGGACGATGGGCGGGGTCGGATACCAATGCTGTTAGAAGTCTCATCTTCCGCGTCATCGTGTTTCGGGACCAACATGACGTGACCTCGCTGGATTCAAGAGACGTGCACTACTGGGTTTAAGGGACGTGTTTGACGTGTACGTGTGCGCAACCTGATCAACCAATCGGAGGTA